AAAAACATATAAAAACCCATTTAATTGAGTCCTTTTTTTGTTTCTTTACAGCAGTTATCAAATGTCCCTCTGAGTATTCAAAGTTTCACCAATCAAAACTAGCCTGTCCTTATGGTTCTTGCTCTGACTCGCTTGTCCCGTCCTCTTTGCTCTCTGGCGTGTATCTGGAACGTTCCCCAATAGTCTCTTCTTTCGCCCTGGGTTCTCTCTGTCCTCCGTTCCTTTTTTTTTTTGTTTAAACTATCCTGGGTAGTTATCGCTACCCTCCTCAGGATGCACCTTGGTGGTAAGTAAAATTAATATTAGAATATGTGCTCTAATACTAACATACTTTTTCACTCTTTTTCTACATATACTCATTATCTCTCTCTTTTGACATAGTTTTCTTTGTCGTCTTTTTACGTAAATAATTTTTTTACGACAATGTTTTATAAAATTAACGTCAATAATTAATAAAAATACAGTAGAAGGAGATAATACATGACTGCTACTTGTACTAATGTTGTTAGTGTAATAATTTATCATTGGTATCAGTACTCTTGTTCTTTTTTTCATCAGGTGCGATAGAGGAATGCATACTCTACTGCAAGATTATAGTTGAATTGTTATAATGATCATCTCATCAAACACGTCAACATCTTATTCACGGTTGATGACAATTGCGTCCGAGCAAGACGTACAATGGCATGATTCAACCTCCACATCATATATCCGGTACTTTGGTTATTCTCTGCAACTGACACCAGAGATTAGCCGCTCTCTCTTTTGTTCTAGTGACGATTTCTCCACTTTGGGCTCTCAGGTGTCAGTTCTTACCAGGCTTGAAAATGCCTCCTCTTGAATACCTTCCTGTGCCTATTGGACTCTCTCAAGCCTTACGAGAAAATCCAATGCAGCACCCATTCCGACTGTCAAGATATCTCCCGGTCCGTTTCTTCTGACACAAAGACCGCAATTTGCTTGCACACCCACGACATCCGTCTTTGGCTCTGCTTCGTTTGCTGCTTCTTCGACCTGTTACATAACTGCATCACTACGTCTGCTCTGCAATATGAATAGAACTCAGACGTGCACACTTCTTCTATGTGCCATCTCTGTCAATTCGATACCGAAACTGTCTTCTACTTATTTGCCGGCTGCTCACTGAAGATGAACTTCTGGGACCCAACTATATCTTAGTATTCTCTGCCGGGCAAGTTCCTCATCGCAGACGAAACTTGGTCAGTGCGCACTTCCTTTGTTCCAGTAGACGAGCAATGCACAGTCGATACAGACGTTCTTTGTTTCTTTGGCGCGGGTATTGTTATTCTATGGAAATACCACTGGCGTTGTGTCATCAATGGCACTCCGTGATATACCAATGCAACCGCCAATATCTTTGAACTATGGATCACTGCGGTTTCCTATCACCTTTGCCTTTTATCCGGACATTCTCTTCCCACTACAGCTCCATAATTTATTAAATAAAGTCCAGACATTCATACAAAAATATATATTAGTGACACGAATCTGATGATAAATAGAAAACAATAACATAGAATAGTCTCTCTTTCACAATCAATTACACTCTGTTATCTCAAGCATCAAATCATTGAATGATAGCTTATTAAGAATAAAGATAAATAACGGCAGGCGTCATGTGAGTATGATATGACAATATGATCTCGAATTTATCTTGTGCCTGAAGTCCTTAGGTTATTAGCTCCAATAGAAACCGTGAAATGCTGAAACAAGTATTCCAATAAGGAACTAACCTAATTTCAATCAAGCAAGTTAAAATAAGCATTCAATAGTTTATGTGTTGTTATTTGAGCGTCATTACGTCGTAATTGGGCATCTAAACGAAATTGCTTAAACGGGAAAAGATCTTTATGATTCAGTACAAGTTGAAATAAAAAAGATCTCCGACGAGAGACCAATTCATGTGCATCTGTGCGTTCGAGGAGGGGGATCAAAGTGACTTTTAACCAATGAACCACTGAAAAGGTCTCTGGTCTATTTTCTATTTTTCTATTTTTCTTTTTCCTTTATCATCAATACAACAACGAGTAATGGCTTCTATGAATCAAGATTATGTCCCGATCCCTCAGTTTCCTGCCTGCTTTGATGGTCAATGGAAAAATATTACCAAGAATCCACACTTGAAAACAGTAATGAAATTCAAAGCTGGTACAACATTGGTAAGCATATATTACAAAGCGTGTGTGTATAAGCGCTTATGCCTTCATGAAGCCTCCCCATCATTTCCCATCAAAAGCCCATATCACTGTTCTAAAGGGTTCAATCCAAATTGACGATTTAGAGTCAAGCCAAGCTTATATTTTACGAGAATCGGAGGATTGCACAATACCTGCACTCTTGGTACATGAAATGCAGTTTACCGAGGATGTCGAGTTTGAGTTCGAATTGGAAAATTTGAATGAATTGATCATCTACTGGGATTTGGAAGAACGATAGTACAGTTTTTTCAACTTAATAAAGTCTAAATTCCTCAAAAAAGAAGAAAACTGGTTTCGTTGTGCTGAGATAAGCATATCAATTGTGAGAAATACTCTTATTACACAAGGATACAATAAGATCAATACTACTATTTTATCCATATCATCATACTCTTGTATAAATGGACCCTTCTTGTATTATTGTTTTTTCATTTTATTGCTCACAAAAAGATAAAACGTATTGTCTTTGATTAAAAAGGGATGGAAGAGGTAGTTGGGATAAAAAAAAGTGGCTCCTTTAATAACAGGATTAACACTTACGTCAGTGGCTCCCTCTAAGCTAATAAAATTGCTTCACTTGGATTCCCGATTGTTTAAAACCTTGATTCGAACGAGTGACTAATTCAGTTTGTTTTAAAGCAATAAGTTTAAAAGAATGAAGAATCAGGCTTAAGTAAAGTAGAAGGAATGAATTAAATGAAAGAAGATGGTTATAATGCAATATGGATAACGAATATAATAAATAATGAATCTTGAATCTTTAAAGGCAGTTTGGGTACACTTTACTCAATTCTATTCACTTTAGATTTAGACTACAACAACACTTAAATTTGGTGAATAGACAATTAAATGTTTGAATATTTAAGAACAGTAAATACATTGCATCATAATGTCTATCTTTATATCATTTGAACTATCAAAGACAGTGCATATCCTCTCGTTTTATGAATCATCTGTCTGCAACCATGCATAATATAGTTGCCTCTGCAGCCAAGCATTACAGAGTAAGCGTCCCCCTTTTTTTTTTACCTTTCATATAAGCTTTCCACTCAAGACTTTTCAAGATTAGACTATTCAGGTTGGTGCGGTTGACATGCTAATTACTGGGTGAGCAACACGTTCAAGATTGCATTGAAACTGTCAGAAAACCACTAAGGTCGGAGTATGAGTCAATATGCAGTGAGGCACATCCCGGATCTTTAAACAGTTGCTCCACTAGTTGAATTAATTCAAGAATTGTTGATAACTTGGTAAGTGCTCAATAATAAACTAAACAAGTTCTATTAAATATATTCAAGTATTTTTCTTCCAATTAAGCGCAGAGAATTCATTGTCTTTCCCTTGTTGAATCACTCGCCAAAACATTCAGCAGAATGAGTAACAGATCCAAATCACTTTACTAATTCTAACCATTGGCAGAAACTTACTTTTCTTCACTTTACTCTTGACAACCCTACCAGAACCGCTGAATTGGATTCAGTTCATGAAACATCTTTGAGAATGAATGTGCCTTCCTACATCAGTTGAGCTATGGATAGAGGGCGTTATCTTATCATGATAATGCCCCCTTCATTTCTGAATACTTGTCCCATTTCATCAATAGGTCGTATTAAAGTTAGAACCTAACATGCCGAAAGACAAAAGCAGTGAAGAATATGCTTTAATGAGAAACAGAGGCACTGTCACATTTGCTCCAAGCCTATCAAAAATAACTGTTACATGACTCCTCGTGCCTCATCATCAAACTATCGCAACCTGAAACCGTACACAGTCTGAAGAGTTGAACCTCTAAACATGAATCTAATCTCGTTAAACTTGACCTTGTATATAAAAAACATGATCAACAACTGTGGACTGGGTAGTCCAAATAACTCTTGGGATGTATCTTTGTAGAATGTATATAAAAGGGCATACTCTTCTTGACACTTGTTCTCCCCATATACATCACTACCATAGTTTATATTTGAACGATTGAGGTTGTCTGCTATTTTGAGTTTCACATAAGCTTCTTTTGTTAAACATCCTCTGTAGCAGCTCTTTCCTTTCTTAGAGTCTACTTCATCATTATGTCGCAACAAGCAGTTGATTCAAATGAATGTTTTTGATGCACTTTTTTAATAAGAAGAAAAAGAGGGAAAAGGTGATACAGTAGAGACACAATTTGTAGGAGCACGCGTGTTTCAAATATCCATTCAACATGAAACACATAAATAAACATGACCTTTTAATCAAAAGTCGCGCCTATTGAATATTTATTCCCCTTCTCTTTCCCTGTTTGGATCCTTCCTTTTGTTTACAAAAGACGGGGATGCAGGAATATAGAAAAATGTCGTGACATAAGGATGAGTGTAACGATAATTGTAAACAAAGAACTAGTCCTTTTTTTTCTTTTTTCTATAAAGAAAAAACTTTCTTTGAGGCTTAAGAGACAGTGGATGAAAAAAAAAAAAAGAGGGAGATCAAAGCCATCAATGTCAAACTCTACATCTGATCAAAATTAAACTCCACTACTTGTTTAGGCTGAGTGTGTGTACATGTATGTGTATGTGAATGTGGAGTAGGTTTGCATACGTATTTTGACAACCAAACAACTTGTTTATTAAAGTAAAGATTACTTTTTATACTTGTAAATACATTATGCACGTAATTTATTTCTGGAATGTATGTCTTTTTATTGAGAATATAAACAAAATATATATTGTGAGAGAAAGTAGCAAAACTATGGGTCCAGCCCTATTTTGTATTTATTGAAAGGTGCATTAAACAATACATCCAAATGATCCAATTAAATGTGAAATAGAGTTCTAAAATCTATGACATGGTTTCAAGAAAACAGTACAAAGGATACATGTGATGTTGGTCTGTATGACACTGTTCGGAAGTAACACTTCCGCTTTATTGCATGTCAAGTTCCTTATTTATTTATATATAAAATTTATTTTTTATATATATATTTTTATATATGGAAGGAGAGGGGTTAAAAAGGACACTAGGAAAAGAGAAGAGAGAAAGGGTGAGTATAAAATAGTTGGGGTAGTGAAACGTTTTTTTATTCTTAAATAATTTTATACATCTCTTTTCTTTTCTTTTTTTTCTTTCTTTCTTCTTTCTTCTTTTTTTATATAAAAATATTAAAAATGTTTATAAAATCAATCATAGATTGGATCCACTTCTTCATTTGCCTATATATCCACATCATCTCAACTATAAAAGCAGCTATTTATATTGCAAAACATGACTATCCTGTTAGACCACAGCGATCATGTAAGAAAATGCCAGTGATCATCAGCAGAAGAAGGCTTGCTAGGAACAATAAAATTAAGAGTTTGCCAACTGAAATACTCTTACTCATATTCAATCAATTGGATCAAAAGGACTTGTATCATTGTTTAACGGTGTCCAAACAATGGAAGAAAATCATCACCCCCCTTCTCTGGAAAGTGGCTACTCCTTTAAGGCCAATATTAAATTGTGGCCAAAAATTCCCTTCCATCTACTTTCCTATACATTTCCAACAATATGGTCATTCAATCCAATCCTTGGATCTATCACTTATTGCTCACCACGTGAACGATTCGACCATTCGACAGATCATTTACTATTGTCCAAACATAACCAAGCTCAACTTGACCAATTGCCGTGCTATCACTGATGAATCCTTCCGACTCTTAGCCCGTGCCCCTCTTGCACGTAATCTAGAGTCTCTCGTGTTGACAAACTGCCGACAAATCACCGATCGTAGCTTGTATTATTTGTCTGCCGTGTGTGATCAACTCAAACTACTTCATCTGAACGGCTGTGTTCACATCGGTCACTCTGGTGTAACTCGTCTCATGACCATTACCGGAAAGACCATCCGACATTTACGTATCAACGATTGTCCTCTTCTCACAGGTGCTACAATTCAAGCAGTAGGTCGTTATTGTGGTCCAAAATTAGAATCCATTGATCTCTCTCGTTTACCATTCAAGCACACGGATATCGTCAAATTGATTAAGCAATGCCCTAATATCACACAACTGGATATGTCTTTGAAGAATCCGATTCGCGCAGATTTCATGTCAAGGTCAACCGCTGCTACTGTTTCTGATCCAGATAGACACATCCATGAGTTATCTGGCTTTATTGAGCTGTTAAACCAACTCAACATTCACCCTACCCTGTCCGCTGAATCAGCAAGACATCGTCGTTTCATCTTGGAGCAACAACGTGTTCGTGACTTGGTGTGTGATCGCACGATAGAGTATGTATCCATTCACTTGAAGAATCTCAAGAGGCTTGATCTCTCTCATTGGGCTTGTTTAACTGATTCTGGTGTGCGTGCCTTGGCTGATAATTGTAGACATTTATCGGAGATTTCATTGTTGGGATGTACAAGCGTCACCAAACGAGGTTACAAATATCTGGCTGAAGCGTATTGCATCAATAACAATAACAATCAGCGCTACAACAGCTCACTAAGTGATCATGAATCACTGGCAAGTACTGTTGTAGAAGTAGAGCGATCCAATTCAACGCCTCTTCCTACCACCAAAACAACATTTTAATATCATTTGAATGCACACGTATATATTTATTTATATATATATATACATATATATACTATTCAACCCACATATATCGACGTATATGTACATATGGCAAATTGCATCTTATAAATATCTTGCACCTATACCCCTTCTATTTTTTTTTCTTTACCCCATTTGCTTTAAATAAATGCATAAAAAGTATAATCATTAAGAATGTTGTCTCACCAGACCATAAACAAAAAGCAATGCATCATGTACATCTTTTTCTTTTTTTCTTTCATAGCTTTACGATGGTTACTAGCTTGATGTCATATCTCTTTTAGATTTCTTCTTGCTTGTAACCATAGATTCGTCATTATTGTTAAGGTTATTATAGCATGCATTCTTCTATGATGGTGCAACGTTACTTCTAAACGATCTCACAGCTAAACTCACCTACCTGTTCATACATAACTATTCACCCTTGGCCCTCATTTTAACATTTAAAAAAAATTCTTTGCCCCACACACATATAAAAAAGGGAAAAGAGGGGGGCTTTGTAGCAATAGATTATGAATGACGATTCATATGCAAGTTTATATTCTTTTGTTGGAATCTTTCGATTGGACACAAATAATAACAGTGGGCGTTTTCTAGACTATTTTCGAAACACAATAGGACAAGAGCGATAACAAAGAGATGTGTAACCATGGCAAAAAAGTCTATTTTTCTTGTGGGAAACCCAAGGTTACATCATTACAAGCTTGCCATTTAAAATCCGATCTACGCACACAAAGGGAGGGCGATTTATTTATTATGGAATAGTTCCTTGTATCATCTCTCTGGTCATTTGCTTGAAGAAATGGGATGATTTATGTTTTATTTTTTGGGATATTGGGATGATACACACACATATATGGTCAAAGCGGAACATCTTGCTTCAGACTATGAGCATACGCTTACACAATTCGAAGGACTCCCAGGGATGGGGCTGAGACTTTGAAATATATAGTCTGTTTGACAAACTAAAGTGAACAATGACCAAAAGCTTAAACCCCATAGTCGTACATAGCACTACCACGAGAGTTCTAATTCATTATTGTGTGCAATGAATATAAAAATAAATTACAGTAGCTAGCAATGTAACATGATAGTCAGCACGGACTATACGTACTCTCAATCAATGGCCTCTCTTTGATATAGTGAATAAGCATGATAAACCATTGTCCTTTTTTTTTCTTTCTTTCTATTATCATCTATTTAACCATAGAAAGAATTGGCAGCAGCTTAAACTGTAATTGCCATTGTTTGCATTGAAAAAGTATTCTGTATTCATCGGCTGTATTACTTCACTGACCAGTATAATAGATCCAATGCCAGCTAGACACATTGGCCCACTGTCCGTCTTTGAAATACCATTCCGACTGATCAGTACTGCTTGACATGGGAGCAGCCACATGCTCACTGCCGACTGTGCTCCTTTTGACAGGATGATCACTGTCATTCACACATCCAGCCCCGGACAAGTCACAGGATATCATTAACAAGAGCGGATGGTCATACTCAGTTGATCATATTATGACCAAATAGGCTTGTTCAGGGTCTAATTTAGCTTTCTTCCTGTCCAGTAGGCCTCTCATTCCTGTTTTAATTCCTTTAATTGAAGAACTTGATAATGTGAGCTTGATTTTGACCTCTAAAGCATGTTTCGTTTTTCTACTTGTCGTTTTTGTATTTCAAAGCAAGAGACCACATCAAGTTACACTGTACTTTTTCTTTATAAACAATCGTTTAAGCGTAATTCAGAGCGCCTAATGAAACTATAACGTTGGCATTGGAAGCTCTGTTCAAAGAACTAGTACGAACGAAAACTCTGTAATTTACTGGATCATCTTCTCAAGCTCTTGTCGCTTTCGATGTTTCACCTTTTAAGAGATAATGCTTTGTATATTGTCCAAATCATACTGTACTCTCTGTTTACAAAAGTAATGTAGATGCATGATTATCAAATAATCAATGTTTGACAGCTATTTGAACAAACCAACAATACATGGTGTTTGCTTAGTCAATTTTGGTTGGCAACGATACTCAAATAATGAATGGTTGGCTAAAGTACAAGGGTAAAATATAGAAATCCAAATATGGAAAACTACTGAGTTCTCTCTTTCTTTCTTTCTCCTATGTCAACATTTGGTCATTTATATCGCACTTTCTTTTTAGTGGATAACCGTTTTTCTCTGTCTCTTTTTTTTTTTTTTCATTTACAATATGAATTGGCAAAAGTATATCAATGAACTTGTTAAAACTGAACACGTTGCTGAGGCAGCCATTATAGAATTAAAAACAGGTGAAGTTTTAGCATCAACGTCGGGTCTCAATTTACTTCCGTCTGAAGCAGCAGGAATCGCCGTTCTTTCTCGAGATTACAATCATGTTTTCGCTCAAGGTGTTCGAGTGGCGGGCATCACCTATATGGGACTCAAAGCAGATGCAACGAGTATTTATGGAAAGAGAGGGACGACTGGGGTGACAATAGCCAAGTCGAATCATGTCGTCGTGGTTGGGACTTATACTGACGGTATGAAACCGGAGAGTAGCGAAAAGGCAATTGAGCAATTGGCCGCTCAATTAATCCAAAGTGGACACTGAGACTTGTCCCCCTCACTTGTATATAATTTATTTAATTATGCATTAAAGCATACATGTTTTTTTTTTTTTTCTGCAGGACTTTTTGTTAGGACTTAAAAAAAGAGACCTGTTTATTTTGTGATATTTCTGCAAAACATAAACTCTTTTCTTTGTTTGTTTATCTTGTTTTAAAAAAGGATAAAGTACAATGACAAGGTCATCATGAAAAGATCACAAAGCAATAAAATCGTCCACTTCCAAAAGGGATAATTTGGACTATCATCATGTCCTTCAGGCAAACAAGTAGCTGTACTTTATTCTAAAGGATATTGGCGATTGACTTTATGTAGGCTGCATTGCCTTAAATGGAATCATTTGATATTATATCAAGGTTACTATGATTGTTATGCATAAATAACCAAACATGATATTTAATAATATCTGCTCGCGTAACTATTTGTCCACATAAATATGATCTCTGGTCAGCTCAGCTTAGGCATGAATATAAAAGGTCAGCCAATCAAAAAGCTGCTTTGATCAAGGAAGAAATGGTCACAACAGGGGTAAAGTGGCTTTCACTCTTTCACTCTTTCACTTACACTCTCTCTTTCTTTAATATCATGCCTCGTTCAGCTTGGAAAGGTCCCTTTTTTGTCTCATTCCCTGGTTTAAAACAAGCTGTTCAAAATGGAACACCTATTGCAACACAAGGTTCGCATTACTATTTGTTTATTTACTGTATCTGACATGCACATTAGCTCGTAGCTGCACCATTTTACCGTCATTTGTTGGATTGAAGTTTTTAGTGCATAACGGAAAAGAATATATACCAGTTCATGTGACCGAAGAGATGATTGGACACAAATTAGGAGAATTTTCATTCACTAGAAAACGATTCACTTATCGTTTTACCAAGAACAAATAAACAGTTTAATAAATGCCCGGGATTATTCTCCAACGATTCTCTTGACGATGAGGAAAATGCTTTTGATACCAGAGAAATGTTTGATTCGCAGTGATTGAAAGATTAACAACAGTCCAAATGAGACCACATAAAAGAGTCATGTTTTTGAATTGGTACAGGATACACAATGAGGCATAGATCAAAATGTCTGCAAAGTAATGAGGTACTACGATCCACTCAAACCAGTCACCTCTGGGGACAGAATATCTTTCTGTTGAATTCGATCGAAGTGAAGCCAATATACTGTGACATTGATATTGATGGTAATTGGCATAAAAGAATAGCATTAAGGCGATGAGCGTTGACAAGTTCCAGTGACCTGTTGATATGAGTATATATAAAGATTTAAACATAATATACGTATACCTTTTTCAATGGTCCTTGAGGACCATACACCAAGATGGGCAGCTCCTTCAAGCCAAGTGCCAAATACCATGGCACCATAGAATCCAACTCCCGTAAGATAATGGGATATGTGCATTTTAGCTTCTTTTGATGGTCTTTCTATTATTAAGGATTCGTAGACACGTCTTGCAAGATGAAAGTTCATTAATAGTAATCCAACTTGACATTGCAATTGAGGTAAATGATATGATCCAGAGGGTTGATCCCATTGACGCAATAAATAAAATACAACGCCCTTTTGGAAATACAATTCAATCGCACAGTTGATTCCAAATAATAAGCCAATGATATAGAAATGGTTAAAGTAGTGCTTTGGGACTGTCAAGGTTGATAGATAATGAGCCCAACGTGTCTTGGGCTTTTTTGTATTGTGTAGATTAAGTTTTCCATAGGATAAAACTGATGCCTGTAATTCGTGAATTCGATTTGCACATAGGCTTAATGTTGTCAATATGATTAAACAAGAGCATAAAAGAACAATCAAGTACATACTAGAGAAAAAAGAAAAAGAAAAAAAAGGCAGTGTAACTATTTTTAATAGTAGACGTGTAGAACACCAAATGATATATTGATCAACATGCCAGCGATGATGCCTAATTGCTGTCTTCTCGAAAAGACAGACTCTCGAAACCAAAATAAGCAAATGATGCCGAGAAAGAATCCAAACATAAGCCCCCACATCATTTCCTTGTAGGTGCCTTGAACAGCTAACCTAAAAGTTAATACGACGCTATTATCTATCTTTGTACATTACTGCCGTCTGGTAGTGTCTCTCCTGTGTTATCCATCCATTGTTCTTCTAAATTTCTAGCTTCCTCTGATGTTCCTTCTGTATCATTATAATCTGTTCCATGAAGTCTATGAAACTGCGCTCTTATATTCTGAATATCTTCTTCTGTAAATCCTGATTCTCGTAGCCTGTCAAAGCCCACGGGCGGTATGATTTGAGGACGATTCTATAGACACAAAGGATATGAGAGAAGGTGTATATTGTATATGTATGACATACATTGCTTATAGAAGAGCCTTTTGGTATATAGTCGGATAATGAACAATGGATATAGACAGGTGAGGGTGGTTCTAGTGTTGCTTTTGAGTTTGTTATATTTATTTTGCCAATGCCGTAACTCTTTAATGTCCTTTGATCTTCAAGCACTTTTCCGTTGTGAATGAGGCGAATGTATTTATCCTTTGCATTTCCTGATAGATTACGAATCTATTAAATACAGGGCGTTACTTAATAATAACAACAATGACAAGTACTATATACTTTTTCTTTAATAGAATACACAGTTTCATCAGGCTCAGCATTAATAACAAGGTCTTGTCTATCAGACCATCTTATATGTAAGTCAATATTATCATAATATTCATCTTGGTCCATCTTTGGAATTACTGAACAAAAAGAGAAAAAAGAGAGAGAAAGAGCATTTTGTATCACCAATGTATTTTTAAAACCAGCTTTAAATAGCGTTACATCAAATTTCCTTTTTTTTTCCTGCTTTTTTCTCTCTCAAATGTCTTATTCTTTACAAAGTTTAATTGGTACTATAATAAACATGATTAAACCTAACCAAAAGACTTATTTACTCTTTTTAGAAAGAGCATGCAGCCCATCTCGATTCGATCCAAACTTGGCTCTTAATCTTGAGATCTGCGAGACGATCAATAAAAAGCAAGGCAGTGCGTAAGATCACATCACTCTATACCCATTATTCTTTTTCTCTAATTCCATTTAAAGGCCACGTACTGCAGCTATGACCATTGTGAAATTAGTCAATAGCCCAAGAGTAAATCAAGCTATGCTTGCTTTAACTGTAACTATTCATGACTTGTTTTCTTTCTAGAAAAAGCCCTAACCTATCATAGTTGCTCGATAATTGTGCTAAAAACTGTGGATATCCATTTCACCTTCAAATAGCAACTAAAGAATTCTTGAATGCGCTCGTTCGTCGCTTCCCAGAACGACCACCGACACGATACGCGCCTCATCCAGTACAATCCGCTCCAGAAAATCAATGGAACCATTTTGATTTTGTACCACAACAACTCATGGCACATCCTGTACTAGATCGTATTTTGTATTTGATTAAGGAATGGAAAATTGCCCTTACAGAATTATCTAAATACAAAGAGGATATGACACATATAAGGGATATGTATAGATTATTAAAATTTAAAGGTAATTCACCCCCTTGACAGAATAACAAGGAAAAAAAGCTGATGTCTTTTTAAAGGGTACGTATTTCCCGAATTACGTGATTCTTCAGTTGCCGCTTTGGCACCAGCAGATGTAAGCAATTGCAAGACATTCATGGGTAATTAATAACGCGCCTCTTTTTATTAGACATTAAAAACAGTAGAGGAACTAGAAGAGGAAAATCGTGTAGCACAAGCAGCGGTATATATAATATAATGTGGTAACATATGAGAAGAGAAGCATTGATGTATAGTTTTAAATATTTAGAAACTACAAGAACTCATCAGACGAGGCAGACCACAGGATTTGGTAGAAGCTAATAGATTGATGAAAATAATGACAGGATACGTAAGAAGAGAGAAAGAGACGAGAATTTTTTGATTATAGCAGCTATCTAAAAAAAAAGTCATGTAATGATAGGATCAAAAGCATCAGCCAAATTATAAAGAGATGTTTGTGGAAGAGGTGCACAAGATTCAAAATAAGGCACGTTTACTATATGAAATGCTGGGTAATTTGAGATCAGGCGATAGACCAGACGAAACCATGGAAGAATTAAAGGGCTCTTGTGAAAATGCAATACTCAAGATTGAAAATATGCTTAAAACTGAGCAAGATAAAGAAAAGATTGAGGAGATGAATCAGGCACTTTTGATTGTGAAAAACAGCATTTTAAAATACCAAGACATCAAAAAGGGACGATATAATACCAGCTATGACATCAGTGATAAGTTTGATAGTAAGCTTGTTGAAGAGGCAAAGCAGCAGCAGCAGGAACAGCAGGGGTCTATTAGCTTAATTGATTTGGATGATGATTTATCCAGTGATAGTGATAGGTCAATCATCAATCAGCTCAATTCGTTGACAATATATTCTCCTGATTTATCAACACAACCTACTCAAGAACCAGTTATACCAATCGCAGACAATAAACTAGTAGACATGGTCAATAAGAATGGGCTTGTTATTCAATTAGAGCCACTATCGACTGTAAACACGACATACCAGTTTAAAGCATACTATTCAAACAAATCAGTTGCTCCTATGGATAAGATGACTTTACTACTAGCTGCACCCAAGGTAATCATCTTTCTTTTTAGCTGATTTAGATGAGTGATTAACGTCACACGATAGTCTATGCAATTAAAACTAGGGCCTGTATCTTCTTCATCTGTACCTCCTACATCTGACAAGTCTGTTACTCAAGTCATCACCATTGATAATCCAAACAAAGTAAGCCTCAAAGCAGATTTAAACATTGCATAAACTAAATAGTCATATATATAGGAATCTATCCGACTTCGATACAAGATAACTTATGAACAATTTGGAGTGGAGATGGAACAGTCAGGCACTTGGCATAATACTAAATAAACATTCTGAATCATAGAACTAAAAGTATAAAATAAAATTAATTATTTGCTTGATACCAAAACTTGTCTATTATGTCTTAAATACCTTGTTAATGCAAAAGATGGGCCAATCCGGATCATGGTTATAACCACTCTCTGCCCTGTTTCACCAAATAAAAGAAACAGGGTGCGATCATTTATATGTATCGTACCTGACTAGTAAAGCATCTTGCTTTACATTATTACTGAACCAAATAGGGCTTATAGTAAATACTTTACAAAATCCGTAGCTTTTTATTTTTATGCTGCAAACCAATAAGTGATATTGATATACTTCATTTAGTCCGTGTGGGTATTTTTTTTGTAATACTTACTCTTATGCAAAATTTTCGCACGGTACTTTTTTTGTGTATAAATAAAAAGTAAGCGACTTATTCCCCACTTCTTTTCTTTACTTTTTTTTATACACAAGTATGATGGCATCCATCTTGAAATCCGGTTCTGCCCTTTCAAAGTAAAAAATCAAACAAATAGATATCATAATATACTGACACCTTTTTTAACAAAAGACAAGGCATCACTTCAAGAGCATTCAGTACCCAATTCCCCCTTTTACAAAGAGTCTCTGGTGTAGACACTGTCAAGAACTATATCAATGGTAAATTTACTGAATCAAAAACTGATAAATGGATCGAACTTCGCAATCCTGTAAGTTTTTTCCAAAATCCATCACTTAAGCGCATATGTATACTAAACGCTTGAAATAGGCTACACAAGACTTAATCGGCTATGTTCCCGAAACGACACATGAAGAATTAAATGAAGCCACCGAAAGTGCTGCTGCTGCTGCTCGCGAATGGAAAAAGACGACTGTCTTACAACGCCAAAGGGTGATGATGGACTTGCAATATCTCATTCGTCAAAACCAGGAAAAGATTGCCGAGAACATTGTTCAAGAACAAGGCAAGACATTCGCAGATGCTAAGGGCGATGTCTTCCGTGGCCTTCAAGTCGTTGAACAAGCCTGTGCTTTGACAACCATGATGATGGGTGAAAAGATGACAGTTGCAAAGGATATGGAAACATACAGTTATAGAGAACCACTCGGTGTCGTCGCTGGCATCTGTCCTTTCAATTTCCCTGCAATGATTCCACTTTGGATGTTCCCTTTGGCAATTGCTACAGGTAACTCTATTGTCATGAAGCCTTCTGAGCGTGACCCTGGCGCCATGATGATGCTCGCCAAGTTGGCTGCTGATGCTGGTGTCCCTGATGGTGTCCTCAACGTCGTCCATGGTTCCGTTGACTGCGTGAACTACATATGCGATGAACCCAGAATCAAGGCCATCTCATTCGTAGGTTCTGACCGCGCTGGTCAACACATCTATACCCGCGGTAGCGCCAACGGCAAGCGTGTGCAAGCTAACCTTGGAGCCAAGAATCACGCTGTTCTCTTGCCTGATGCCAATAAGCAGGCTGCCTTAAACTCTATTGCTGGCGCCGCCTTTGGTGCCGCTGGTCAGCGCTGTATGGCTCTTAGCACTTTGGTGTGCGTTGGCGAAACAAAGAATTGGTTACCTGAATTGGCCGAACGTGCTAAAAAGCTCAAGGTCGGTTATGGCATGGAACCCGACACTGACGTTGGACCTCTCATCACAGTTCAGTCCAAGGAACGTGTTGAGCGTTTAATTCAAAGCGGTAAGGAAGAAGGTGCTAATGTTTTGTTGGATGGAAGGGGCATCGTGGTAAAGGGATACGAAAAGGGTAACTTTGTTGGTCCTACCATCATTACCGATGTCAAGACTGAGATGGAGTGCTATAAAGAAGAAATCTTTGGTCCTGTCCTTGTCTGTTTGAATGTGGATACCTTGGACGAAGCTATCGAACTGATCAACAGCAACCCCTATGGTAACGGTACGGCCGTATTTACCAATTCTGGACCAAGTGCTCGCAAGTTTGAACACGAAATCGATGTTGGTCAAGTAGGCATCAACGTTCCTATTCCTGTGCCTGTTCCTCCCTTCTCTTTCACCGGTAGCCGTGGTTCCATCTTAGGTGACATGAACTTTTATGGTAAGAGCGGTCTCCACTTCTATACCAAGCCAAAGACTGTCACTTCATTATGGAAAGAAAGTGATTCTGAACACACTCGTGCTGCTGTTCATATGCCAACAATGGGTCATTAAAGAAATGTTGCAACATAGAATTAAAAAATAAAAAAGTATAATACGATGTAACATCTTTTCAAAATATGTGTGCAATATGTTGAAAAAAGGGAGGAATGATTAACGGACAAGCAGTAAGGTTTTCGATCCCTGGAATATCATTAAAAGGAGACCATATAAAGCAAAGGTCTTTTTTTTTTATTGTGGCAAAGTAACAAAAGAGAACCATTTTCAACAATGTCTCCTTCTTTTTCTAGACCTTTTGTTAAGCTAGTGCTATACATAGATTCTTCATTCTCCCTCTTTCCTCCCCCCTTTCTTTTTGCCTTTTTTTTTTGTTTTGCAAAGCACAAACGTTCATTCTTTATTTCTTTTCTTTTCAGAATGAAGCACGTCTATCAACCACAATCGACTATAACCGCAACCACAGAACGAATACCAACGACTACATGGGGACCGTTTACGATCATTACGATTGTATCTCTCGTACTTGTCACTTGTATCATACTCAATTGTCATAGAATACGAAGAAGCGTTACCGGGAGACGAGCGGTACATCAATCTGGACAGTTTGAAAAAACGCACAAAGAGATGAAACAAGTAGATATCGAGTCCAATGCCGATTTTTCTTCATTTTGTAGCCGAGATTCACAAAACGTTACTGTGCCAGACACAGTATACAATGGAGCGAAAAATGCTCGACCCGATTCAGGATATATTCAAGTTACAAGCGTGCATGCACAGCCTGTCTACGATTATGCTACGTCACAACCATTAAACACAGTTCGTTGACAAAGAAAGAAAAAGAAAAGAAAAGAAAAAAGTAGCATGGATTATCTTAATAAAATGTACTATTACAGTCATATATACCTAGATTTCGTATTTTATACTGAGTTTGGATAAAGCATCTACATGTAAATGTCTAAACTCTGTTGAAGGGAACCGTGATCTCTACGGCGGCTTTTCTTGTGAAAACTGAGGGTCTTTCTTTGCCTCTACAAATAGCCCAAGAGATATCGAGCATGTTTCTGCTTGCATTTGCATCTCTGTTCCATAGTATATTGCAGGCTTTGCAATCCAGTATACTATGGGATTTTTTTTTCATTTGAGAGCTTCTTCTGCTCCAGCCGTTTCTGTTTACGATTGTTCTGACCTAAATAGCTGATGGACCAAAACCGTCATACTTGTCGGGTTCTAATTGCTTGATTGTTGCCTGGTATTTTGGAAGATATGTGATTATTGCTTCCACATGGTTTTCTATACAACACGTATGAACGTTTATTATATATTTTCAATTTACATATTAATGGCTATTCTTTAGAATTATCATAATATCCTTCGCGCATGACAAATAACTTTCTTTTGCAAAGATTGAGTTTTCTAAATTCATCTACAAATAAGAAAGTCTGCTTGTTGCATGCCATTTAGTAAACGATACTGACAACCTATGATCCAAAATACGCGTGACGTTAGAAACAGTGTAGAGTATATCTTTCGTGCTTGTTTCTTGAGCTTGGTAGATCACGTCGTTCTGCGAATCTTCAGGAAGAAAGACTTCATCTATGAACTGTTTTACTTGAGCATATATTTCTAACAAAATAAAAACTATTCCTTGAAAACTTTTTTAAAATTATTAATTCGTTGCTTACGCAAGTTTAATGGATATGTTGAGTCTAATTTATTCACTACTTTCACTTCTTCTACAGCTAGTACGTTAGCTGATTTCGATTTGATGTACTTTGTGTATGTCATTGGATCACCAAGAATTCGCGTTTTTGAGACTAGAATGGGTTGCTTCCAACAAATTCCAATTTTGTGAAAATCCTCAATTTTCTTTTTGTACTTTATTACATTTTCTTCAGTAAATGTAACATAAAAAAGCATACATATTCTTTGGCCTTCTGTGGTATCTATTGTTATGTCCATTTTGGGATAGTTAGAAAAAGAAGCTGCCATGTAGCTGCGGAGTGCCTTTTAATAGGGCAAACAATACATGCACCAGAAGTTAGACTAATATTACGGGCGTCACATCTACCCATTACCTATTATGTTGCCCAGCAAAGCTTTGCAATCTGCAGTGTCAAACTAAACATGGCTTTTATAAAGCATCCATCTCGATTTGTTTTTCTTTTCAGGAAGAAAAAGTTAAAAAGAAGTTTTATTTTTATTCTAATTTTATGTTGTCAGTTTGATCAATAAAGAACCAAGAACAATTACATGTAATTATGATAAATTCGCATTTTATATCAGAGAGAGTGGACTGAACAGAATTAGGTTAGGTAGGGAAACTTTTCTAGTGTGAGATTGTATAGTGACAACATAGGTAGTGCTTAGAAAAAGCACCCGTAGTATTAGCTTATTTTTGAGTGCACCAAGTGTTTGCTTTAATATTCAAAGAGCTTATCATAATACGTATACTGTAGACAGAGATACATCATACTAATAATATATGCTATAATATGGTGTATATTGTTGTCGTGTATTAATCATTTATATATTTCCTTACTTCGTTTTTACCATTAGAAGTTATCGATTACTCATTGCCCATTTCCAGACATTCGGCGACCAGACGCACTTGCTTGGATTTAAATGATGTGAAACATCGTTAAACGATCTGAGAGACTTTGCTCTAGATCTGGACATCTGGAAGCAAACGGCTCGAAGATTTTTGGATGGCCTTGGGTATAACAAAAAGATAATGAACAACTCACAATGGAGACATCTAGCGGATAACATGTGGAAGACATTACGCATACTATGGACGGCTCTCTAAAGGATATACAATACCATTTTGATGATTGGCAGTATCATCCGGCACAGTCTGAACGCCAAATTCTCAACTATCACCTGTACGGGAACGTTTTGCGTTCAATCGGCGAGGGAAACAATTACACTTTCGACTACGTATCTAGACCTTGAGAATATGGGCTGCTATATTCACCAAAAGATTCGTCATGCTAAGAATCCTGTATCTTTTGAAGAAAGAAACCAAAGATTACGAGTTTTTGAGCTCTTGGTCACATTGGCAATAATGCTGGAAAAACAGGCGTAAGTGTCTGCAACGCTTCGTAAAGAAAGAAACGGGATGGTACAAGTGTATTTAAAGAATCCACCAGGAGTAGGTTTTACTCTTAGCACATTTATCCTTTCATAATAAAAAAAAGAAAAAAAAAAATAAGCAACATAATTGGCGTTTGTGGTGTTTGTGACAAAAAGAATAAGACGGAAGGCAAGGGGAACAACATGAGACTGTAATCCAATATATTTGGAGAAGAGAGTAAAAAGCTATTTACAGCCAATTTGGCCATCTTTATCACTCCCATCGCAACTAGTCTTTTTTATTTCATGCAAGGTCCATCAAAAGCTGAAAAAATGATCGCTCCACTTCTTCATATGGGTGGGCAGGTTCAGGCATATTCGGATTTTTGGTATAACAGAACGAGATAAAGAACAGTAACAGAGACTAAAAAACCCCTCTGGGATCAAGGGTTAAAAAATCGTACTGGCGAAAAGATGCAGGATACAATCATTTACGATTGGCATGGGTGATTTTGGAAAACGCTTCACTACCAAAAGAAAGCCTTCCTCAATAAAGGAGCGTACGACAGCACGCTGAATAGGAACCCTAACACGGCGAATAGCATGAATCAGACGATTTGCGAAGGTGTCAAAAGCATAGTTAACCTTGCCTTGGTGACTACACTGAATCAAGCAAACTTGCGGTATCAAGGAGATATTTTCACAAACAATAATTGCAAGCTTATCTAATTGTGAAGGGAACGGCATTAACCTTTAAAGATACTTTATTACCCACTGTCTGCCTACCTGCCTTTTTTTTTTTTTTATTTTCACTAGCACTTTAAATTAGAACACTTTGCAATGACCAAGTGTCAAAAATTCAACATCAGCCACTGGGGCCCAAAATGAACATGAAAAAAGCAGCCTAATGGTGACTGTTTGGTTTTAGTTCTTTTGATTTTGAAAGGCATCCTTGCAACTATTGACTTTTTTCTCTCTTAAAAAAAAAGAACACGATGGCATTGAAACCTAAAACTGTCGCCTGTATTACAGCTGGTGTGGCTATTACCGCATGTGTTGGTTATGTCTTGTACTTTGATTATCAAAGACGCAACAATCCTGTTTTGAGAAAGAAAATGAGTAAGTGTCGTCTATGATCCACTGATCCATGTGTGTTCTTACAAGGTAAATAGAAAAAGAAAAAAAGAAGGCTGAAAAAGAAATCCAGAAGGCTCAAGAAAAAGTCAAGCTGAATGTTCTACAAGTCATTGATTCGGTTATTGAGGCTGCTTCACAAGAGACACTCCCATCGACTCCAGAAGAAAAAGAAAAATATTTTATGCAGCAGGTTGCCTTAGGAGAAGGGCTTTGTAATAAAGGTAAGATTTTCAAAAAAAAAAAAAAAAAAGTCCAAGGTAGTCAACCATAACTTAGGTGAGGCTTTCTATAATGATGCTGTTTTACCGTTCTTCTTGGCCTTGAAGGTTTACCCTTCACCCATGGAATTGATCATGATTTATCAAAAGACCGTCCCGGCTCCTGTCTTTCAGATGATTGTTAACGTCATGGCACTTGATGTGAGTATTTTTGATATGGATGCATGAAGAAGGCGGAGCTGACTTTTATACTTCAATAGCAACAAAAGCGTCAAAATGAATTTTACGAGCAGTTCCCTCCAAAAGAAACAAACACCAAATTGGCTGAATTGCCTGTTGGCACGAACGAGGAAGGAAAACCTGTGGTCCGTCGAGGATTAGTTGCTAATAGAGATATTTCAGCAGACGAAGACATTTACTCGGAAGAACCTATTGTTTCAGCCTTGTTCCCTCAATTAGAAGGCCTTTACTGTAACCTTTGCTTAAAGCGCTTAGATGAAGGCAACAAAGTAGAATGTTCGGACTGTGATACTATTGCATTTTGCAGTGATGAATGCTTAAAACATGCCAAGAACGAATACCACCAATATCTTTGCCCAAAGAACAAACAGGAAGAGGAGACAAATAAGGATGCATTGGAATTCCACGAAAACTTAAAAAAGAGCAACAAAAAGTATCCTTACATGATTGCACGTTTCCTGTCGGCAATGGTTGTCGAAGAACTGAGTAAGGCAAATGAAGAGCAGAAGATAGGCGAAACCTCGTTTGGTGCTTGGGATCATGTTGACAGATTTAGATATCTGGAGGTTGCTCCCAGCGACGAATCAAATGAAGAAATTGAAATGCTGAAAAAAGTACTTGGTCCCAAGGTCCAAGGCATCAGCGAGTTTTTATCTAGCGATGTATATTTGATGCTTAAAGGAAAGTTGCTTTATAATGCCTATGCTATTTCTGCATCTATAGAAAACGATGTTCAAATCGAAGAATCAAAGGAACACGCAAGATCAACTGATGGTCAAACAAAGCATATTGGAGCTGGTCTTTATAAAATCTCTACCTATATCGGACAGTCCGAAGAGTCACCTAATGTTGAGTTACGTTTTGAAAACAACAAGATTACTGCTAAAGCCCTCAAGGAAATCAAGGAAAATGAAGAACTCGTCGCAGCTTACACATTACCTGTTTCAAAGAAATAAAATTTATTAGTATAACCTTGTAATATTTCTTATAGTCTTTTCCATAATGCTCTTTGCATTCCCTTTAATTTGTAGATATCCCGGATATTGTTTCTTATTTTAGATGAGGTTCTTGGCAAATGCAATTTTAATTGACCATTAGTGATCATTATTCAAATCACAGAAGAAGCCAAGTGATAAGAATCCTTGGAGTCAAATGTTATACTTGTTTATATATAATATAAAAACGACAAATAGATGTCAAGCAAAAAAGGATCAAAAGTTAAAGTGTTGAATGTGGCTCGTGAGCATACTTACCTTCTGTCGGAACTGTCCATTGGATAACGCGACTATCGGATAATCTGGGATAGCTTGATAAATCTAGGGAAGAAGTAGTGTAACAATCATGCAAACTAATCCATGTCAGTTAAACTAGTAAAGACAGTATCGCCTACATAATAGCTACATAACTATACTTTATTGCAGCATGTTGCTTCTAATAATTCACTATTGTTGAGTGATAATAGCTTCTTTTTATACTAAAAGCAAATAAAGAAGTACGAACTGAGCGAGTAACGTTGCCTCGTTTATTATTCGATTTTTGTAATTGTGCGCCGTATGTATATTCGAGTCTTTTGTTCTGACAAGAGTACTTAAAGCTAATGGGAATATACCATAAGATACGTTAAAATCTGATAGAGCATACAAATCATTAAAACTGAGGTTAAAGCACCGGACGAAAGTTGAGATGAGATAGATGTATTACGTTTTGCCAAGACATAAATTTATAGACAGATGACACTATAGAAAAACGGCAACAAGTACATAAAAGTACGCGACATATACTCCTTTTTTTTGCTTAAAGTTATCAAGAATGACAAATTCATTTGTTATATTTGTAGCATGTAAACAAAAGTTAATACGAACCAAGGATAGAGACTAATGCTAAGTATCATATTAGATCTACTGTTTTCTAAGCTTGTATACTGTGGACAAAATTATACCTCAACTATAGAATACAATGTCATTGCTTTACTCAATCAGACTATCTTCAGCTCTATGGTTGTTGTAGTTGACAACACCACTTATGTTTTAGAGCCCAATGATACTTTCCCCATCATTTACTCTGCCATAGCCCCGCCTGCTCAATCTGGCTACTTTTATGCCAAAATCTATAGCAGTAATGATAGTATGCTCACAGAGTCCTTTGTCCGTCAACCCATCAGCCAGGACACGCCTCATGAGTTCTTCAATCGGACCTGGAACACGCACGAAAGTAAAAAGCTACCACAGGTCTATGAACCCTTGGATGACATCCATCGTATTAAATCCAATCTTCACAGAGAAAATGAAATACCCACGATTCATATTGTCGGAAACCAGTTAGAACTAGACGAGATGAACCACAACACCACAGCTGACATTTCTGTAAAGATAAACATGACCTATGTCTCGCTCTATGATGCCATGAATTTTGAAGATGTAAAGGTCTCATTGGCAGGTCAGAGTACTCGAAGCTTATCCAAAGTGTCGTATAGCCTCAAGCTCAAAAAGAAAAATCCTCTTTATGGCTACAGGCATATCAAACTTCGTTCACTGGCCATGGACTCTAGCTACATGCGTGAACAATTAGCTTATGATATGCTCAAATCCGTTGGCCTTGCCTCCATGAAGTTTTCCTATGCTCGCGTATTTATGAACGAACAAGAGCTAGGTCTGTTTGGTCTGGTTGATACATTCAAAAATCCTTGGCTTGCAAATGTATTCGCCAATGGAAGCTCTTCTTATGAGAATGGCTACCTTTATCAAGGCGTCTTCCAGGGCAGTAAGCAATACGAAGCTGATCTTTCATATATTGATAACATTACTGCCTACAATGATGGCGAGTACAAGGTCAAACAAAAAGCATCGAATGGAGAAAGTGATAACTATGAACCCTTGATGAAATTTACCAAGTTTATCGCTGATGCGCTTAACAATGGAACAAATGCATTAAATGAATGGAATAGTAAGCTCGTTGTTGATTCTTTTCTTCGATCGTAAGTCAAAAAAGTATTAAAAGTGAGCAATAGCTTATCATTTTTGTTTTTCCCTAGCGCTGTCATGGAAATCTTGATCGGTAACTCTGATGGTTATTTGGCCAATGCAAATAACTACTTTCTCTACCAAAAGCCTGATAACGGCACCTTTTTTTATATCCCTGCTGATATGGACCTGACACTAGGAAATGGTAAAAACGACCTTGATGACACATGGAGTGGTAATTATAGCACCTTTCCAGGAATGTCCAAACGGCCATTGATAACGCATATAATGGCTGTACCCGAGTTTAAGCAGAAATTTGAACAGCTTCATAAAGATATTAATTCCAGACTAATTAACCCAAACGTATCCTATTCTCGTATCGATGATATTGTAGATATGATAAAAGAAGATGTCGACTGGGATAAGACCTTGCCTCGTGTAAACTCGAATGGTGCAAGTTCTGTTCCTCTTGGTCAAAATGGTAACGTCAATAATCAAACCATACCATCTGCTATGCCATCAATGGCTGTTCAAGGAAACTCTACTGGTATACTTCAAGGCATACAAAACATGACGGCGATGCCTGAAAATAAAGGCAATATGGGCGCCTCTGTAAGCGTGAAAGAATGGCTTGCTGGTGTTTATCAAAATACAACTAGTTTTTACTCCAAGTGACAATAAAGTCTCTGTATTCTTTAACAATAAACGTTCAACTTGCCTCAACGCAATTTTGGTAACTGTCCCCTTTTCATGAAAATGTGCATTCTTTTTTTTATCATGACTAGGAAGGTAAACCGATGCTTTGAATGCTTGAGTTGCATCATTATAACACCTTACAGTGCTCACATTTCTTATTATCCATGTCATACGGGTATAAGAATAACAGTAGGATAACTTGAAACATATATGTACATCTCAAACATAAACTGTACCTAAGAAAGAAATGGTTAGACCACAGTAGTAGTAACTCACCACGAGATGAACAAATACGACTGTCGTCAAAGGTATCATGATCTCCAAGTAATGAAAAGCCGAGGACAGTTCAAGATAAGGAAAGAAAGAAGGATAGACATTCATATAATAAATAATGAAACGTATGGACACATTAGAATCAATAACCAAATATGATACAAGTAACGTGCTGCTGCAAGTTCTCGGAAAACGTTGCTCTTGTGTAATATACAAAAAATGATTACTACGCATATCCTTTATGACAATGGCTCAATGTTTTATATGTACATTGACGTCTCTTTTCGTTCCTTTTGATATTCTGTCTATTTGGCGTGCAGCCCCTTGATTTTAGATGTGACTTTTAGTGTAGAAATATTTAACAAACAAACAGTAAGCTTTTATTTGACAAATGAAGGGTCGATCTTTATAAAGTGTGAAACAATACTTTCAATCCACATAAAAACGCCCAAAAAAGCAAGCACCGAGCATTAAAAAAAATACATCAATATCCGATTCAAACCAAGACCATTGAGGCCGATGAGCCTAATAAAGTGATTTCCGATAAAATGATCGATCGTAGAATCTTTTGTTTATAAGGGAGAGCTTTTTATTCTTTTTTCTTTCTTTTTCTTTCTAACCTCTTTGATTTACTTGTTCTTTTTCTACTTAAAATCGTTCTATTCTACAAGATTCAACAGTGCAAAAATTACAAAATAAGCGAACTCACGATCAGGTTGAACCTGAAAGTGAACAAGGATTTAAAAGACAAAGAAATGATATAAACACTCTATTTCAACTGTGTCCTTCATGTCATAACAACTTACAACGCCCTTTAACATTACCTTGTGGGTACACTTGTTGCACGCCATGTCATAAAAGTAATTTAGTCTGCATTGCTTGTCACCGAATGCATACAACAGCCATTAGCCCAAATGTTACTATACAAACTATTCAGACTGTTTTAGGAAAACCCGGTATGACGATGAACCTAAAGTCCAAATTAGCTCAAAGCTTAGAGTGTGCCATTTGTTGTACCCGATTCACTCAACCGACGACAACGCCTTGTGGACACACATTTTGTAGAAACTGTCTTGTACGTTCATTAGATCATCACAACAATTGCCCCTTTTGCAGAGAATCACTCGATTTCTGTCCTCCACCCACCGAAGTCTTAGTGAATGTAATTCAACAGCTGTATGGCGAAGATGATGAAGAGTCAGCTGATGCACTTGATCTTGACCTAGAGCATGATACTCGAGTACCTCTATTGGTCGGATCACTTGCATTCCCTGGGGTCAACTGCATGATTCATGTGTTTGAACCAAGATATCGTCTTATGCTTAGAAGAGTGATGCAATCTAAACGAAGCCGATTCGGTCTGTGCTTAGTGCGGAGAAAAAGATCAGACAGAGAAAGTCCGTTCTACGAATATGGTACGATGTTGGAATTGATGCAAGTACAAACTTTGCCCGACGGTCGATCGATCGTGGAAGCAGTAGGCTCGCATCGCTTTCGTGTAACCAGTTTTCAACTTCAAGATGGATATCACATGGCAGAGATAGAACGTATCGACGACTTGGATAGAGAGCAACAGCAAGCAGTTGAACAAGAGCAGATCTTGAGAGCAAGTGCATTAAGAGCAAAATGTCAGCAGCAGCGACTGGCAAATGCCAGCCTACCCCAGTCTATACAACCGCCTCCTCTGTTGTCAGGGTCACCAATGATGCAAATGATAAATCAGCGTCGATCCTGGGCACAACAAGCACATCCCCAAACTAGCCAAGTGAACAGAGCTCCCTGGCTGCAGATGCATGTCAGGGGCTTGTCTGCAACTCGATCTAAGCCATATCAGATACAACAACAACAGCCACAACAACGGTTACTACATCAACCACAACTAGCCAATATTATACCCACGGTTACCAAACAACAGCAAGCCACACCCCACCAAAATAGACAAGAGGTAGCAACCGATGAGTTAGTAGACGAATTAGTCACGTTTATTCAAAAACTGATTCAGTACAAGCAGTCTCATCCAAATACTCACTGGTTTGGCGCACTAGGCAATCCTCCCTCCTTGGACAAGTCATCAATAGATAGGGTAAAACTGGTGTGGTGGTTTATTAATTTGGCACCTCTGGGTGAGGAAGAAAAAGTTTCTTTGCTGGCAACGAGAACATTACGTGAAAGGGTTTTGACAGTCATGTCCTGGATAGATAAATTTGAAGATCAGTGGTCACTATTTCTTGACAACAGAATGCCTCTTCAGTCCTCATCTTCATCTGATATTGCATGCTGCATATCTTGATTATACATATATATATATATTTCATCATAAAGTGCTTTATGTGCTCTTTTTACTTATTATAAGCATGTATAGACTTTATTTCGTACATAGTGTAAATTATAATAAATATGCTTTTTTTATTTACATTTAAGGAAAGGGAGGAGGTGCATAAACGTTATTGTTGCTGTTATTATCATAGGTCCATAAAGTACTTAAAAGAAAGGCATAAGGGGTGTCAATTTCTTATATGCTCTGTCCTACTGTCTCTTCATTTCTTATTAATGATCGTAATACGCGGTTCTAGAAGGGTGTTGTTAAAGTGTGACCAAGCATGAATGTTTTGCTTTATATATACCTCTATCTCTAAATCATGAATTCTTTGCTTTAGTCTTTCAATTTCATCTATATTTTCATGGATTACTAAAGAAGGTAGTTTGATGGTATTCGTGGGCAATGAGGCTGATGAAGTGGGCTGAGTTGTGGGTTCAAGTAAGAATGTACCTGGGTTAGGTAATGATGACGGAAAGACAATTGGCTTTAACTGATTTGATTTAAGACAGGCAGTTTCCGTTTTTCTGTGTCTGTTTAATGCATCAAGTCTACTAAATGATCGAAGGCAGGTCGCACACTGGTACGGTTTCTCTCCCGTATGTAATTTCTGATGCCGTTTTAAATCATGTAACCTTAAAAACTGTTTGTCACAATCTGTACACTATAGATAATAATAATAAAAAGATAACGTCAATTATGCATTTTGAGGGACATTATTTAGTATATACCTGAAATGGCTTTGAATTTGAATGTGTTATTTGATGAGACTTCAAGTTGTGAGCTCGGTGAAATGTATGATTGCACTCTGAACAAATGTATACTTTCTCTGTTGATGTCTTTAATGTAAACTGACCAAACAATGGTGCTTCCATTGGACTGGTAGGTGTAGATAGATGAGTTGTTATACTATCTTCATCACTGTACTGAGGTGAATAGTGACTGTCTAATGACATAAATGGTTATATGATGATGGAGTATAAATGCAAAAAAGTAAAAAAAAAAAAAAAAGAAGATAACGAAAAAGAAATGACTTTAACAAGATATGTGAACAAGAGTTTGAAAAATATCAAGGGCTTTATATTTATTTTATACACATCATCTACGGTTTGATTCAAGCGGGCTGATGAAAAAAAAAAAAGAATCTATTGTCAATGCTTGCGCCCGTTTTTAAAGTTCATTATTTCTTTGTGTTGCCCTTTATATAAAAATAGGTACTAGGACAAAACTTTATTTTTAAAAATAAAATATATATAAAAAGATGCTCCTCCTTTTCTTTTTCTTTTTCTTTTCTTTAGCATGCTTTTAGTAAAAAAGAAAGTAATAATAAAATAACTTTTTGTTTTTCTTTCTCTCTTTTTTTAACTATTATTATTTCATATACATTCCTTTATTATTCTACACCTTCTCTCCTTTCCTTTATACACATACATTTTCATGGCATTCAAACGCAAACTTGATGATCACAGTACAGATATGACGAACAACGACAAAAAACAAAGAAAACTTTGCGTGACATTCAATTCAGAGATTACATTATTAGAAACCTATTCTTCAGAAGAATATGATAGATCTGGTATCTTCTCTTCACCCATACTATATAAACTAAACCCATCAAGGTTGCCTCAATTATCGCTTACTATCTCTCAGTGCCCTGCCCTTACATCAGATGATGATGAAGCGTCAAGCGCAGAGACAAGCCCAATACCGTCGCCACCATTGTGTTTAAAAAAGAACAAGAAAAAACCTTTATTGTCGATCGATACAAGTATTTGTTCTGACCCTTTGTTCTTTTCTCAATTAACCACCAACTACAAGACAGACAGCACAGAAAATGAATTCTTAGTCCCTCTCTCAATCGCTTAACTGTATACCTTTTTGTATTATTATTTTATTGTTATTTTTATTGTGTAATGTTTCCTCAATAAAACACTTCAATATACCGACATTTGTTCAAAAAAAGGGCCCCCTTGTTTGAAATATATATTAACAAAAAACCATGAGATTTTTTTACATGTATATTGTCACAGGTTATCTAACTTATTCAAACAAATAAACCGCTTTAATGAACCAAACATACATGTCTCTCTTTTTATTGAGTAACATGGGATGTTTAGTTTTCAAGTGAACAGTTACTATTTTTAGAAGTGTCCAAAAATTAACCAGATCGACAAAAATACACAAACAACGAAAAGGGAATAGTCCCATCTCCCTTTTTCATGAATCCAACAAAGAAAAGGAAAAAGGAGAAAGAAGTTATTTAGTTGCTGTTGTAAGAAAATACTATATGAGGGACTTGGCTTGCTCCTTTTATTTATTTTCAGATACAGGGTCCAATTCGATACTTTGTTTGATTGTATTCCGTCTGTTTATTGGACTTGCTCTCCATGTTTGTAAGTGGTAAATGTTTAGTGGGTCCATGCACCCACTTGAGCACCTTTATTGGTTTTCAAACTTTAGTTTGTTTATTTTTATTAAGGAGCTGATTGACCAAAAGAAAAAGAGTCCTCCCTAACCATAAGGAAGAGAAGTTATTCATATACCAAATATACATGGTAGAATGTCGATACATGAAATAATGACTTCTTATCGTCATGTGTCCATTAGAATAGCCTATCACGGCATAACAATATCATGTTTAATCTATGGCACGCATTTTCATCAGGAGATCAGAAAAAGCACGAAAGTATGGAACAATACACGGGTGGTAGTAAACTATATATATTATTGCAAGAAGCACCTTAGTCACACAGTATAGATCAATATCATGTTGAAAAGTCGATTTCATAAATTTGACCAGGCTCTGATTATAGCAAGGAGTTCTGTCTGTAAGTCCAAGTTGATTTGCTTCATAGAGCCACTATTGAAAAAAAAAAAAAAAATAGTTCCCTCTTATGAACATTGAATCTAAATGTTAAAAGATGTTAGAGTATACTTATATGTAACTATCGATCCAGCGTGTTTAAATTTTATTTTTGGTTTCAGTTTATTTCTTGAAAGAACTTGGAGAGCTTGCTTTTTATTTAAGAAACTACTGGCGCATCTGATATATATATATATATCTATTTTTGATATGTTTGTTTGTATACAAGCAGGAAGTACGTATCAAGAAAAATATATAAAGAGCAAAAGCACATGTGTGGTTTTGGCGAAAAACCCCAACAGTAACGCTGGTCTTGTCGGAATTCGTATCGTTGTATACGTACGTAACATGTATACATCTTCTGCATGTTTTGATTATAGATTCAACATATACTTTGGAATCTATAATGAATACTAAAATTAGCATATGCCAAGAAATATGCTTCTACAATACACTCATCATGAAGCCTGACCACAGATTCTGGTACGGGTATGCTGATTTCAGTTGTAGCAGTGATGTACTAAATTGATTCGATGCAAGCAGAAGTAAGCTTTTCGACATTATGATTTTCTTTAGCATCAGTGTTATTGAAGTCAGTACTACCAGCAAACTTGATTAAAACTGGTGTTAGCTTTCGATCTTTAATACTAAAGCCAACACTATCAAGCTTCTTGTTTTCGATATGCAAACAGGATTATTTATGACCTATTAAAATGAGCATGACATGTTATATAAATATAACGCATTTTATGGTCAGCCTTTTTTTTGTTCCTTTTTCTTAAAACAATCTTTTACAATAAGATGAAATGCTTATAAAGTAGACACGACAGTCGCGGCAGTAATATACTCAACTGATACGAGTAGAAGTAAGCTTATCGACGTCGTGGTTTGCTTTAGACTATGAAAACGCTGACTGGAACGAACTCAATAAACTAATAAAGAAAACTGAATTTCAGGTTTTAAAGGGAACGCACCATAGCCTACAATAATTCATTCGTTATTTATAAGTGATCACAAAGTTACAACAAAAAATATCAATAGAATGTTGTCTTGATCTCATTTTCTTTATCTTTTTTTCAGCTTTTTCTAATCTTTAATGCCTCGTATACCTATTTACCCAGAAGTGGAGAAATTCATTGCTCTAAAAAG